TGCTGGGGTGCTAGAGGTTCAATTATGTCCAGTCTGGTGGCAGGCCGGCGTCAGTGACGATTGGAGGATGGAGGGCACATCTGGAGAATGAACCGTCGGGGTACCCTCACCTCTTCAAGTGACAGGTATGTAAATTTCGAGGACGGAATTTTTATAAGGAGGGTAGATTGTAACAACCTGATCCTAAATTAATAGTTAAACATTAAATTGTTGAAGGAAAAGACAATTTTACCCTGGGAATATTGAAATGATTTAAGAGTTGACTTTTTATTCGGGGGAGATTAAATGATTAAAATAAGAGAAAATAAATTGAAATAAACAATAAAATAAAATGATTTGAATTAATTAAGGTTTTTGAAAATTAAAGATATTATTAAATATAAAAAGGGGCAAAAAGGTCATTTTAAGTTTGGGAAGGAATTTGGAAATTCCGATTGGACCATTGCGTAGAGAACGTCGAAATGAGTTCGTAGACACATAGTGGGCTCGAATTGGAGTTGTAACGAAGAAATGGCGATCAAGAATAGGTCAGTGGCATAATCGTAAATATTCCAAAGTTCAATTTTTTAAAAACCTAGAATTTCTTCACTTGGGGAGCTCGACCAGCCAACTTCATATCGTGATTTCTCCCAACCCATGCCACCATTTCAAGCAAGACCGGTCCCAGACGAACCACCACACTTCCCTCTTCCAGCCTCAGCCTTTCGTCACCTCGATCCGCCTCCGTAGTTGTCAGAATCAACCACGAAACAGGCGGTTTTGGACAGATTTTTCTTAAACTTTGGCTGGCCGTTTCTCCCTCCTCCGCTCACCAAACCGGTAGAAGAAGGTATGCTTTTCTACCTATTTTTCAAGCTCTAGCTGATGGTTGGGTATGATTGGATTGATTTGTAACATAGATAACCCGAAATACAAATTGAAATTTGGCCAATTTTCAAATTGAAATTCCGGCCATTTTTCGGGGTAGGTCCAAGAACAAAAGTGGTTCCAAATGGGGTTTTACACCTAGGGTAGGAATTTCGGCCGGTGGTTTACGTTTTTCCGGCCGCCAGAATTTACTTACGACACCCACGCGCTGCTGGCGCTTGCGGCGGCGCGTGGGCCAGGCTTTGGACTAGCTTAAGGTTTTAGAATGATCTTCTGGTCCTCACGAGCTTGTAGGTACTTTCGGATTTCAATTCGGACAATGTTTGAACCCCGAACGGATCTCGCCTATTGTGTGATTTCTAGGTTTGATACATTTGAACCATTGGATCATGGTCAATTTCATATATGTTAATCTAGATAATTCCAAGATCATATAGGACTCGACGGATCGTAAAACGGAGTTCCGAATACTCCGAAAATGCCAACCATAGGGCTAGGTTTACAATAATTGCCCGACATTCACAGGTGTCGGACATGCATAGGGTTCGACTTAGGTTCCAAAGTGGAATTTGGGTCGGGTCTTTTCAACTAGCAATTATGGGTATCAATTTGGCAGTCTTGGGGAATTATTTCTATCACTTTTCGATAATTCTAAATTATTACCAAATTGATAGACAATAATCTCTAAATCTAGAGACAAGCATTGCCAAACTAATATTGAGTAATTGCCAAAGTGATAGACAATATTGCAAATTGATAAAAACTTATAATCACCCATTATTTGGTATTCACTAAATATTGTTTTGTGAATGCAGGTTCATAGTAGAGATTGTTCATTAATTGAAATTTATAATATGGTTGTTGAGACCCAAAATGTCATGAGAAGCCCAAGAATGTTTAAAGCCCAATATAACATATAATGTTGGTCATGCGTTCATCCAAACTGTATTTTGGGAATTTATCCGTTAAATAAATATAGAAATAGTGTACATTCCATACCAAGAAAATAACACATTATCCTATGCTAAACCACTCAACAAGCTTAAGTGGGCTCAAGCAACATACATGCACGGGGCTTGCTAAGTGGGTTGTTGTGTGGATGATTACAAGGATCAATAAGGCCCATCAAAAGGTTCAAAAAATTGAGGTTTTGGGCTGCTTTGGAGTGCCAAAACCCAAGCCCATTTCTATTGAACCTATTGTGGGTAAGCAGAGAACGCGTCTTCCTTAGCATTTATGAACCAATCTCCAATTTTCTACCTTACAATACCAAAACCACGGTCAGACTTATTCCCAGTCTTACTTTTGCAATTACTACCCAATTCTCAATTGCCCAGCACTAAAACCTCAGTCATAAACTGATTTGCTGTATCACCAACCCGAGGCCGCCCGTTCATAAGCTTGAGCTTCAGCTACTATAAAAGGTAGCAGTGGCTTACCCAGAAAGGGGAAAGAAACCAACGGCAGCAATAGAGCAGGGTATAATCTCACTTCTAGAAACACTCAAGCTTCTCCCAGAAACCATCCTCTCATTTTTCCAGAAATCATCCTCTACCTTTTTCATAGAAAAAAGAACATTATTTCAAAGTATTTTGGGGCCTAGTTCTTGAACCCATGCAAAGGAGCAACTTCATTCTCTCTTTACAACGGCCCAAGTCCACCTAGAGCTGCTGGAACAAAATGACCCCCACAATGGTTAGGAAAGAAAAATAATGGGAATGACAAAGAGGAAAAAGCAACAAGAAGAACAAGAAATATAGATATTTTATATAACTTTCATAACACCACCATTATCACCCTCTTGTTCCCATACATAAATATCACAATACTATCCTATACACCAATTCCTTTATGGTGTGAACTTTGGTACTAACTTACAACGACCAACTTTTTTAACCAATTGATTTCGGATGGAGCCCAAAACTTGGGCAACATCATAATGTGGTGGAATGGGTCATTTGGTGAGTTTCTAAATCCAATTACTTCAACTAAACAATGTTGTAACCAATCCCTTTGCATGACGAAGTTGGGTACGAACTTACAGTGACCAACTTCTTTAATCAATTGATTTCGAATTGAGCCCAAAACTTGCTGAAAATCATAATGTCGTTGGGGGAGTCATTTGGTGAGTGTTTATTGAATTCCAATCTAACAGGACCCAACCCAAATTCTACTGTAGAATCTGCGCCGAACCCTGTGCATGTCCGACACCTGGCGGGTGTCGGACACAAATAACCGAACTACCCTTCTAACTAGAAACCTAATATTTTCTTCTAACTCGACTTCTGCCGAAAATTCTGTAGAGTCTCTCCTATAACTTGCTCATTTCCCAAAAATTTTACCTGTACACAAACAATTTAGATATCCTCATTCGTTCAGCATGTAAAAAAATAGAATTCATACAACCAAACATACATCACACACCACAATCCAAAGATATTGATATGATAACATTCATGACAGGCTAAGCAAAAAAGAAGGTGTATAAATAAGCTAGGCTGGTATATACCCATAATTGCCACTTAATGCCAATAATATCATATTAGGGTCACAAATGAGAATGACAATAGAGAATTTATAAGCTTGTGTTATGTTCTTTTGC